TGACATGGTTTAAGAAAGAGTGTCATAAGTTAATAAGCCTGGAGACAGAAATATAAGTCGAACAGATACATCTGTTATACATCTATTATGGTATTATGAGGAAAATGTATTCGCATTACACATTTTGGTTGTCTCTATGCAAAGTTTCACGAAATCTCTAACTGCAGATTATATTGTTTTTTTTTTTGTATAAAAAAACATTCAAACAATATTTTGATATATGACATTAATTTGTGTTCCTAATACTACATATTTTTAAATTATTGTTCGCTTTTCATGGCAGACCACTCTTTTAACATAAATACATTTTTTACCCTTAATTAGATGTGACGAATACCTAATCGTACTTTTTAAAACGATGTTTTGAATTTTACTAGGTGGTTTAAGAGATTTTAGAACTTAATAAATAGTAATGAAAGTTAATGAAGACTAAAAAAACAATAAATTAAAATAAACAGTTTACATATACTTTTTTAAATGTTAGCTTGGATTACAAGTGTCATTATTAATAACTGTTGTCGTTGAGTTCAGAGACAATATAACTATAAGTCAACATCTAAAGAAGCTTCAAAATTGAGACACACAACCCCAAAAAGTAATCTAAAAATAATCAAATGTTCGTTGTTAGATGGTATTTGGTAAATCTCTTTTATATAATGATACAGGGTTGGATAAGAATGTAATTTCGCCTCCATTTGGCCAAAGTAATAACTGGTCCTTGTCTCTGATCACATTGCCTTCCCTTATCTGATTGTATTGTCCGAGAAGTCCATTGCTATTAAAACTTTGTTACATCGACAATGCTGACATATACTTTTGATATTTACTATGAAATAATAATTACTAAAAACAAAATTAAACATAAAATTGGAGATTTTTGTGTAAATATAGGTGATTAAAAAATTATGTGTGAATTTTTTATACAACAAAGTTGCAAAATATAATTTTATGGTATATAAGGAACGTGCAATGTTTTTATTCTAATAATAAATTAAAATTATTATTAATTACCTGGAGATAATGTAAAACTAGTACTCGTGTCAAATATACTATTGAAGTAATAATTTCATACTATTTTTATGGGATTAGGACTTTTAAAAGATTACATAGAAAAATACTAAAATATATTGCTAAAATGGATACTGTATCCATTTTAGCAACATATTTTAGTACTTTCAATACAGTTAACCATAAAAATGAAAAAAAAAATAATTGTAATAGTAGAGTATTTGTATACGTATAAGATATGTCGCAGTATTCAAAGCCTATGGTAATTATTTTTCAAAGGCAGGTATAGTATTAGTTATAGGCCTACACGGGCCAGCTGTAGTATTTTTTTTATTTTCAAAGAGTGGCTTACACAATTGAATGAATGAGCCTTTTTACAGAGTGCACTAGGTACTGCCAAATGTTATCTACTTTCCTCAATACTATGATAGTAGGTATGACGGCCATCGTATCCATATAATCAAGAGACAATAGTTTAAAAAAGGCTGTGTTTTTAGTTTAGAATGTTAAAAAGATATGTTAAGTGTGTACGACGGGACAGACTCTATCCTCGGAGGCCCAATTAAACCACTGTACAAGCATGCTTATTCCCCAAAACTCGCTCTCGAATTGGCATGAGAATGTGAGGCCTTCTTCTACCTTCAATCAATAGTCAAAGTCGGGACTCAGGATTTTGGACTCTTCATAGTACTAACCAGAAGAAGCTATTCATTTGTGTTATTATTTCAGGATACAGTTCTGAACCTAAATTTTAGTTCCAAACTAATTCTTACCCTAGTAAGGTATTCCAGTAATTCAAAGGTAAAACTCAAGGATATTCAAGTTCACCTATATTTTTCCACTACTACTACTACTACTTTCGTACAGGTGAGGAGATGATGGACACACAAGACAAAAAAAACAACATACACGTCACCCAAGTAAAATCTAGCCTATCTCATAACGGACCAAGATTCACCTTAAGAAAAATGAATAACAACATTTCACCCGAAATTCGAAGCATTGATACTATTTCCAGTTTTAAGATCAATCTCAAAGACCATTAACTAAAAGTCCGGTATACTCTGTTCATGAGTATCTAAACCCATGAAGATTGGCCTATCTATCGACGGCCACGGTGCAGAAGAGTTTCTAGTGGGAATTCAAGTATGGAAACTTGATAACAAGTGTCTTTTCAACTCCCCTTAGATTTATTACCCCTAATCACATGCTATACAAACCTCGATAACAAGTCTTACTTTTATAATTCCCTTAAGACTCTGGTTATCGAGGTTCTATTGATCAAGTAGATGCTAAGTTTCTCTACTACTTTTAAATACAAAAAGTGACTCAAAACGCTTTCATCTACCATCCACTAAATTATAACTGTTAAACCTTATACGCATTATTTTTTTCACACAAACAAAACGGCTTACTGTAATCAGACAAAATTGAGCAATAAAACTACCGCCTACATTCTGCATGAGCGGACGGCGCTCATAAAATAATCCTTCTCTGTTCACTGCGATCTTTCCTTTACCTTTATTGACCCTGAACATCAAGTATTCAGATAGTCCTGTATCTGTTGTCCCGAGCGGTTATTTAAATATACACAACTCCTTGCGAACAGGATCTCTGCACAGAATATCAAGCAATTCAGTCGAATTGTTCAAAATTCAAGTTACGAAAAGTATTTTTTATAAAGGTGATATAAACAATATCTGTTGTCGATTGAATAAATTAGAATATAATTAGCATATACCACTAGAAGTATAACAATATTTTTTTTCTTTAATTGTAGCTGTGCCCTTGCTTTGTAACTTTGTCTTGTAGTATAGAAGGAGTAGTGCACGATTTTTTCATCACAATGCAAAAAATCACACAAAGCTTCTTGATTTGAAACAATTACATACTATTCCACAGTCAAGTAATTGTGGTTAAAGTCGTCATAACATAGGTCTTAAATTTATTAGGCAGAGCTGTTTCTTGTAACGAAATGGTGCATACGGTGGTGCACGGATATTAGGCCTAGCCTAGAACAAAAACTGTATGGGCCATAAACATAAACAAATTACGTCAATGGCCGTAAATAAACTATTTATTATTACTTAAGTGGAATTGTAAAAAAACTTTATTTAGTCAATAAGCATAAACGTTCGGGCTAGTTACGTATTTTTTTAATGTTTATGATTCAAACAGTTTCTGTTCTAATTCGAGCGTTAGTGCTCCTGTTTTGCTATATGGAAACTTGTTTTTTTTTTAGTAAGGAAAAGTAATGTTTAGGCATAGACAAAAATAATTAAATATAGACTGTCAGCCGTGCTGCGGTTACCATGATTACCATAGGTTCTGACGCAAACCTCCGGAAGCGCCATGTAGTTTACGTAGCGCGTACTCCGTAAGTTCATGGTGCTGCCAGCAGTGTACGCCAGAACCTATAGTAACCGCAGCACAGCTGACGGTCTATATTTAATTATTTTTGTCTATGGTTTAGGACAAGCAATATAATATGTTTTGTTAGATTGGAAATTAACGATTATCAGATAGCTCAGCTGTACGAAAATGAGCTATTTTCGTTCTCACAGTGATAAAAATATTATAATTTTTATTTTGTTACCATAAAAACTAAACAGTATTTTGATAACCTGAACCAGAGGAGCAGGTATTGATATCGTAACAGGAATGGGCCATTAGTAATCCTATGGTAGGAGACTATCTTTTGTTGAAAATGACAGCTAATTTAGTCCTGTGGCTTTGGTCTGATGGAAATTCAGACACCTTACATTTACAATAGTATTGATGGGTACACAGTATTGTACTCAAAGTACTGTACTAATTTATCTAGATCCTAAGCTTATGTAAAATTTTTGTGGATTTACCATCCTTATAAATCCTCTTGGAATAATTTTAAGTATGTGTGAGTTGTGAGAAGCTAAAAGTATAATATTAGTAACCATAAACAAGCTGCAATTATTTCGAACAATCTGCAATACTATATAGTATTAGCAAAAGTCTATACAAAACCACATCTTCAAGTTGCAAGTAATTGTATTTGAGGGTCTTGATTCGGTCATGCAATCAAAGAGCCAGTGATATCAAGATACAACGATATTATACTGGCCAAATGGATCTTGAATTACATTTCGCAAAGCCCATCCAACTTCCAACTTCTATTATTGAAGATTTGGCAAAATGATGAGACAAATGTTGGATCCAAAGGTTGAATTCGCCAGCTTCTTTATTGATTTACTATTAAATTGATGTGAATTAACTTTCCATGGATTTGAAGTTTAGAATTACTTGATTCATATTCTCATTAATTTGTTTTTATTACAAGTACTGTATAATTAATTTATGAAAAATCTTATTTAAAAAAATCTTAGTGTTAGGACCAAAAAACTATTCGTTTGTGGAAACGAATGTTTATGAGAAATAAATTAATTTTTATTCATCAATTTTTATTCTGTACAATCAAATATTATTTTAGCAATATTTGCTGTAGAAATATTTTGCATGGTAGTAAATAGTTTATTTTCTCCAATAGGATTTACTTTTATGTAATAGATAAATTATTATAATATAATAATAATAATAATATAATAGTATATGGATAAATTATTTAATACCATGCAAAATAATATTTGATTGCACAGAATAAAAATTTATGAATAAAATAATTTATTTATTTGATTAATAAAATTTTAGTTTTCAGTCCCTTTAAGAAACAAATCGATATTTAAATTTATCATTCTTGTAGATGTTAAGGTTGTTGTAGACTTGTGTTCTTCTGGCGACAACTGTGTTAAATTCAAATCTGTCAAGACTTTAATTTACAAACGTTACAGCCTCCGTGTGTAGTGACATCTTTAGAGTGACTTGACTTTAGCACGGTTGACATATCAGGTTTTATCAATTGATTTGCTGGAGAAACAAACTACAGACTAATTTTGGGAACTAACCTATATTTATGAGCCAATTTAAGAATAAGAAGTATTTATTTTAAACATGTATACAACAAATTGGTATAACAGAAACAAGGTATACATTAGATTATTTTCTGTAAACATTCACAATACTAAAACTGTAGAACAACTTTTTTAACAACTACCTTAGCAATAGTATTACCATTGACTATGATACTGAAGTAGACTTCCCATCTGTTGGACCAGCTGTAGCCCATTTTTTATTAAAAAATAACGTAGTTGTGTGAGCCAGTCACAGAATGCACTAGTGTCAAAAATTCTTATACCTTATTTTTTGTTGCTGACCAGGTTGATGGGTCATAACAGTTGTTATAGCTCATAATAATTCATCCCCTGATTTTGACTTGTTAAAAAAGATTGTTTATTTGATAGAATTTAGTAATTTAAATCAGTGCAATCTGTAGGTGACTCACATCAACTATGACGATTTAAAAAATCTGGTTACAAATTTAACATATAAATGGAATGTCTAGTGCAATACATTACAGTGAACTATTTTAATTTTTTAACCAATAAATATCTTACAAGTTAACTGTTTTCCTTGTGTTTATTAAAGCTTAAGAGTTAGAAATAACTTTTGATGGAATGTATGACAATATCCCATAAAGCCATTAAATAATTTTCATTAGGATATAGTTAACATTACATATCAGTTTTTCTTGTACATATTTCCAAAGAATAAAACACGTGGTTTAGAAAAATATAGCATCACTTCTTGCAACAATGCAAGAATAATAGTTACAATGTTTAGTAAACCCAAACTACTTTATTCATTGAAACGTCACAACTGTGTTAAGACACAACACCGGATGACGGTACACAAGATGATATTATATCATTATAATATTATTAAATAATAATATATGGAAACCACATAGGTAATCTTGAACTGATTATTCAACTTTTTTCTGTGATTGTTTTGAGTAACTTATCAATTCTTTCTAGTATATTTACAATAAATTGTAATAAATAAGTTTAGTATCACATTTTAGTACTTGTTTGTAAATATTCTTAACTTCTCCCTTAAGACCTTTGGTTATTTTACACCTACCCCCATCTTACAAAAAATCATTGCCCCTGATGGTAGCTACTGATAAAATCAGTGTTCAAAGCTCAGCTGCCTTGGCTGGTGGAGCTACCTGCATCAATACTTGGACCAAGAAGTTAAGTTTGTCTGCAACAAACAGTAAATTTACAATTAAAATAAGTCTAGGAAACATCTTTCATATTAGTGTTGTTATCAAATTATATATTGTAGCCAAGAGGGGTTCTAGCAGGTCTACCGTCTACCCAGCAACTAACCGGCATGTTGTTGGTGTGCCAACCCATCTAATTTAAGTTTTATTCATGATTTATTTATATTTAAAGTTTTGGTAAAGAAATTTCTCAGTTAAACTATCATTCTTGAGTTTCAATAGTACAACCACTTTAGAGTAAAAAAAAAAAATTGTACAGTATCAGTGAATAACAAGAGTTTTGTCTGCACATTAATTTCGCTAGGCGATTAAAGTGAACAGTCTGTTTTGTGACTGGTATGTACAAGAGCTCTTGCCATCTTATTTCTGGCATTTACATTCTCAGTTCCAGTGAGAGTAAAGCTAGTAGTACACTTAGCAAACCTCGTTGAAGCAAAGGTCTGTTGCAGCAAAAAGGAGTTCTCAGGTGAAGGTTTCGGCAAAAAAATAGTTTCATGTTACTTTATGGGTATAACCAGTAAACTCTCACGGAAGCGGGCCAAAACTTATCCTCGGATTCCCTGGGGGAATTTGAAGAGATATCTTTTAGTTTCGGCGTTAAGTGCCTCAATATTGCAAGGTAGCAGCAACAAAAATGGTGATGACGATCAATGATGGTGCTCTTTGTGTATTTTCATTATGTCTTGTCTGTTTTTGAATCCTCTAGTATGTATTCGTAGCAGTTCCGATTGGACCAAACTTCTGCAAATGTGCCAAATGTGCTACGGTTGCTCTGGAGTAGTTGGAGGATAAGCTTTGCCCGCTGCGCTTCACTGCCACAAGAGTTTTAAGTGTGGACGTTACGTTCTCTACTAAGAACTTATTTTGGTTAGTAAGGTAGAAAAATGAATTATAAATTCAGTAGACTCTTCCCTCTTGTTAAGTTTAATTTATAGTAAAGATCGAACAAAAGCAAAATTTGTATGAAGAAACATTGGTGTAGTGGTAAAACCCATCCACAAAACTGGTACAGTGAAATCATAAGGTTGAGAAATCTAACTAAGAGTATCAATTCAATTTTATAATCTTACCTAGTCCAGGAGGACGAACTCCTAGGTAGACCAGAGGGTAGTAGACCAAGAGCCCGAGGATGATGAAACCTACAGCACCCAGGTGCCCAGGGGAAGGGTCCAAGAAAATAGGTACTGTGGCCAACACTGTTGATAGGACTACCAGAAACACCGGGATAGCTAGTGGCACCTGTAGGATTACATAGTAAATTTAACAATTAATAGAACTAGGCATTCCATTCCCATATTCAAGCTGTAGCCAGAGTTTATTAATAAAAATAATGTAGATGAATGTGTGCCAACAGTGTGTGGTTGTAAATTTATGATTACTGAGTCAGATATATCCCCAATATTGTACTCAGCGCTAAAGTGAAAGAACAATTTATTTATAGTAAAGGATCTTATATGCAACTATAGAAGAAAATATAATTCTGGAGATTGTAGCACACATTATGTGAGAGGCTCATTCAGCTATGTTTTTTTACAAATTGGGTACAGCTAGTTCAGTCTTTAAGGTCTTCAGTAGCCAAAAGACAAAGAGAGGACGTAATGCGTAAACTATGGTCAGCATTACAAGTGTATGAACAATGAGAGGAGAGTGCCTGAGTGCTTTGTGCTGCATTGGTGTCAAGTAATGTTGCAATGTTGGTAGATGAGAGAGTCTAAGAACTGGATGTATGGCATACACTCCTAGTGGTGTGAAGTCACTATACTAATAAATGTTTAATTATGTTAGGAATAATGTAAATTGGCAGACATTTTAATTGTTTTTAGTGGGACAACTGGAAAGGAATATAACAGAGAAAACTAAATGGGATGGTCGTATATTTCGTACTGTGAGTATTCTCAAGTAATTAGAATTGTTCACTTTAGAACTAAGAATCGAGAAAAGGCAATCTAGTTTAGGACATTTTTTTGCTTTTAAATACCTTGTAGGGCCTGGAGACGTTGGGTCTGGTCTTCCTCAATATGATGAGTGCTAGGAAAGCCAACCCGTAGAAGGTCCAGATGAGGAAACTGGCAAACTCGATTAGTGTGACGATGTCTCCAGCCAGAATAAAAACCAAAGTCAACACACCCTGGGAACAAGCAAACACTAACGTGAAATTTCCTTTTAGTAACTAGTTGATCAGGACATTTTAAGGTAGTGGTTGTCAAAAGGGAGGCTCACGCCCAGGAGGGGCGTGGAAGGATTTCAGGGTGGCCGTGAGTGCTCACGATTCCAAGGTGGGCGTGGACATGGCTCTCGACTCCAATGGTACTTTTTTACCCTTTAGATGAAAATAACTGTTTTAGCCACCCAGCGCAAAAATTAAGCATAGTGATTTTTTTAGGCAAAAAATCACAATGTACAAAAAAAAACCAGTACAAAAAAAGGTTTCAATGGTGTTTTTATTGGGTTTTGTGTCCCTTATCTCATTAAAGCTATTAAGAATTAACTTAAATATAAACTTATGAGATTGGTTTGGTAGTGTTTATACCTGCAATGTAACAGCAGGAGCTGGTGTGTAGCGATGGACATGGATATAACAGAGACACTCTGGCATATGGCCTTCCCGACCAGCAGCGAACGTCAACCTGATAAAAGACACTAAAGGTATCAAATGAAATTACTTTACCTTTGTTTTGTGATATAGCATTGAATTTCTTACTCAATTCCCATCAGACAGCTCAAAAGTAATATGTTTGTTACGCAATGTTTTTTTGGTGCTAGAGCATCTTTGCCAGCTGTACTTGTGAAGTTGCTTGGTTGGGAAACTTGATTTGTCATGTAAGCCACAGAGAGGGAAGGTACAAAGGAAACACTCAATGGTATACTTAGTTGGTGTCTACCAGTGGAGGAAGACCCTGTGTCTTGTGCGATAGGAATTTCCGCACATTGCTCACCACTCGGGTTGATTTTTGCAGATTTAAGCTGGAAGTAATTTATTCTTACAGTATGTCCGTGGCTCAGAAGCTAAAATCAAGAATTTTTGTTTCATCTCTGTACTTGTAACATTTTGTATTACTGTATTATCTAACCTATATAGGGATTCTACTTTACATCAAAGTAAAAATTATAAAAATCTTGCGATGTGTTATTTACCTTGCAACACCAAACTGGCTGGCCATGGAACAGCTAAATGTAGCGAGGGCCACACCAGCAGGGATCACAAACCGCAACGGACCTAGGATCCTTTCACCAAATGCCTGTAAACATGTATGTAAAATAACGTTTGGTGGTTACACATCCATAATTTTAACAATCAGGTTTACAAAAATACATTTAACTCAAAAGTTATTAATTGAATACTTAAAAGAATCTTTCAGTGTCTCAAAGTGTCTTCCGCAATCCCCCAGTAGTCCATGATACTTTATAATCCATAAAAAGTATTTTAGAAGTTAGTTAATAAAAAAGTAGACTTTAGAAGTAGTTGTAACCACGATAAACACCGGCTTTGCAAATCAAAGCTTTAATTTGAGTAGAAAATGTGTAGGTACTTGTAACGGCAAACCCATTTACTTATTAAAAAATATATTTCAATGGTAATTATTACAAAATTAAGAAATAGTCTTAGTAGTGGTGTGAAACCACCTTCATAATTATGGGAAATATTCCTTGAGTTGAGGGTCCTTAACAGCAAGCCATGTATAAAACTAAACAAACAATTCAATGACTAAAATTTGAGGGTCAGCCAAAATTAAAAATTTTCTCAGATAAAATGATTTTACGAACTTGTAACAATCTGGCATGGCTGATGTGATGAGTTTCAATATAAATTCAATGACATGCCAAAAACATTAAGACTGCCCCTTTAACAGATATCCAAAGTCCAAACCATACAAGGATCTAGCTAGACTATATCTGTCCAGAAATGTTTAATGCTAGGTGCAACAGGTCAATTAATTACTTTGAGTTATTCTACTAAGCATTAAAGATGAAGAGCTTAGATATGGTAGAATCTGCTCTACAGACTTTTGTAAACAACAGATGATTCCACTGCTCATAGAAAGAAAGCCATCGCATGAAGCACAAACAACTGAAGATGTATTTCAGACTTGATCGTCTTTTAACTCTGGGTGTTATATATTCACTTTTTAAATCCAACTTAGCAGAAATAGTAGTTGTAACAAAATATTCAGCAAATAACGAAGGAGGTAAATTATCCTGCAATAGGATTAATTTGAGTTGCAGGTATATGATGTTGCTTGTTAGTAGCAATTGTACTGAAAACATTCAGGATTTTTTAACTATTCTAATAAATCATTCCAGAGACAATAACTATTCTATTTTGAACTTTTTTTCCAGATCTATTATTTCTTTAGATCTGTAATCTGTAAATTCAACAAGGAATACCTAATTATATGTTTTTCAATAATCTAAGACAAAATGTATGCCAAAATGGTGGACATCAGTGTTTGCAGGACATTCAAGTCTAGACTAAACTTTAAACAAATTAATGCATGTTGGTTTTAACGAGCACACTGTATTAGCATAACGCAGTGTTTCATTTATCTGATATTTACTACAAGTTTGTTAATGGTAATGAGAAAACTATTTATTTTTAACCCACCACAGCAACAGCAGGGACTGTAGTCATCTCTTCGACAGTCAGCACTGACATGTAAGCTATGTTCATGCTGACAAACAAGACTGTAACTAGTGGAACAGCTATCAGTATACTGCGAGGTATATTTCTGAAACAAGGACACTCCTTTGGAACATTTTTATTTGCTCTTTAGCATCTGCTTGTTGAGTGTGTTGTCACAAATCACGAAGACTGGAGAGTAAATTTGAGTTCAAGGACACCTACAGACATTTTTTTCATGTGGGGCAAACCAGAATCTAGTTTCACTGGTATATGGATAAAGAACCTTATATGGAAAAATGTAAACCTCCATAAAACATAAACTTTGGATGTTTACATTTACAAATGGCTATAATGCATTTCCAATTGCCATTTTAGTTTCTACAACATTTATTAAGGGCAATACTACATACAAAATAAAAAGAATCAGATTTTTAGGAATACATATAAAGTAGGTTTGAATAAGTCTACTCTTCATTGAAAAACAATATTATGAAATAAAAACTATTGTCAAACCTTATAAATTGTAGATGCTATACTAATTAAAAAAAACTCAGGAGTAAACAAATGTTATATATTATAAGTAACAAAAAAGGTGTATACAAACTAAATTTGTACAATAAATCCATGTTCACAATGAACTCTTCACGATGCTCCTAATAAATCCAAAACAACAACTTAAAAACATGAAATAAAACATTTGAAAATATAAAAAAAACAAAAAGAGCTTAACCAGGCGAACAAGTTAAACTGGACAGGAATAATATTAAATCATCTAAATCAAGAAATATGACAAACAATAAAAATATCTAGAACCAAAGTGATAAAAAAATATATATTTGAAAATTCAATCAACAAGCACAACTTTTTCTGTAGACTCTTCTATTGGTTGTTTGACTGTGTTTCTCCACAGACCATTTTCAAAGTCACCCTCTTTAACAGAATTCATCATTTATGGAGGTCACAGTTTAGTTATTTCGACTATTTTTTCTTGAGTTAATGTATTACATTGTATACTTTAAAAACGGTCAACCAAAAGTTTGATTCAAAAAAATAAGTTTCAGGAACACAATATAAAATAAGCCAGTGAAAATTCTTTTTATACTCACTTGTTAGGTTTTATTATTTCCTCTGACACAGCAATCACAGATGTCCTGTAAAATAATTACATTTACCTTTGTTGTTGTTGCCTGAGTTCTTGTAGGTAAGATGTTTTTATCACCCTATGCATTTCTCAACCCTTTATGGCATCTTCAGGGGTCTTCTTAGTTCATCTTCTTATCTCAAACACTATAGTCTATATTTAAAAAAAAACATCACACAGTCACTAGTATCACAATCCGGTTGATTGGACAATGTTGCAATGGACACATACCGTCGTCCGACTGTAATACTACTGACTGCATTCGTGTGTATATATATTTTTAAATATAGTGTTTAGACTATAGTGTTTGTGATAAGAAGATGAACTGTGAAGACCCCTGAAGAAGCCACACAAGGTTGAGAAATGCATAGGGTGACAAAAAATCTTACCTACAAGAAATCAGGCAACAATAACAAAGGTTAATTTAATATAATTCAAGTTCTTAAAACTGGGAGACCAAAAATTCTTAAAAATAATAAGATCAACATAATATATTTTTATATAGTTAACTAGTTGCTTCATTCATGCTTTCCAAAACAAGATGAATAAAAAGAGGTTGGTGATGAAGTTTTTAAACTATACTAAATAGAATTTTCACCACCATTGAAATTTTCTCACCATTGTAAAACATTCAATTGATTATAAAATTAATTTTGTTCTACTGTACTTATAAAAGCACACCTATGCTAATAAATAAGAGACAACATAAAGGGACTTACTTACCAACCATCATAGGCCCACAGTCCACTGTAAATTGATAATATTATGTCCTTTAACCCAGTTTTGGAACCTTCAAAACCTTTACTAAGATGTTCCATATTTCCTATAAATAAAAGAACTAGATGTTAAAAATAAAGTTGTTTAAAATACCTAAAAAAAGAATAAGTAAATAAATACCCAGAATCTGTAATTTTTACTGTAGCTGCTTTGTTCAACAACAAATCTACTTCACAATAAAATAGAGAGTTGAAAAAAGCCAATCACAGATAATTTTGTTTAGGTTTTTAAACTAATCAACACTAAACAAATTTTCACAGAACCTTTCCTGCTTCTGGTAAATGGTTTTTTGAATCTGTACAGTGGATCTGCTATTGGAATACTGTATTGCATTACTTACTTATGGTCAGAAAAATGAGCTCACGGTCCATTGGGATAAGTTGTTTACAATCCAATATGGTGCTCATCCAGGCTCTGTATGGCATTGGATGGCTGCATGAAGGACTGTGTGTTTTTTTAAATTCAGTTTAGCTCCCTTTAAATATATCTTCTATAAATTAAACTTTTTAGTATTGTTATAACTGATATCCTACCTTGACTTAAGTTGTAGATTCCTCCACCGATGACAACGACACAAATTACAATCTTGAATGAAGAAAATATGTTTTGCATTTTGACGAATAATTTGACACTCTTTGTGTTTACATATGTTGTAATTCCTAAAATCACAGAATCAGACTCGTTTATTGAATTAGGTTATACAACAACTATGAAAAAAATATTTTCAACTAATCATCATTATTGCAGACTAAGATTTCACCAGGCAGGTTAGGCACGATAAATTTACTTTAAAATAAAAAAAAATGAATGAAATCTCAATTGCATCTTACAAATAAAAGCAGCGAACGTCGGGCAGTTTGACGATGGTTCCATGATCGCGGGAGCAGCTGACGATCGCACCGCGAACATTAGACAGGTTGACAAGATGTCGGACATGTTTACGATGGTTACGTGATCGCGGGAGATGTTCACACGATCGTCGGACATGTTTACGATGGTTACGTGATAGCGGGAGATGTTGACGATCGCGCCACGATTATCGAACATGTTGACGATGGTTCCGTCGATCGCGCCGCGAACGTTGGACATGTTGACGATAGTTCCGTGATCGCGGGAGCTGTTGACGATCGCGCCGCAAACGTCGGACATGTTGAAGATAGTTTCGTGATCGCGAGAGCTGTTGACGATCGCGCCGCGAACGTCGGACATGTTTGCGATGGTGCCGTGATCGCGGGAGATGTTGACGATCGCGCCGTGAACGTCGAACATATTGACGATGGTTCCGTGATCGCGGGAGCTGTTGACGATCGCGCCACGAACGTCGAACATGTTGACGATGGTTTCGTAATCACGGGAGCTGTTGACGATCGCTCCGCGAACGTCGGACATGTTTACGATGGTTACATGATCGCGGGAGATGTTGTTGATGGTTCCGTGGTCGTCGGAAATGTTCGCGCTGGCACTGTGACCGTGGGTGGTCAGATTACCGCGACTCTACTGATGTAGAAATATAATGTAGAAAGGGTCCCCATCCGCGAATTCTTCGTACTGCGGAGTTTTGCCATCGGTTGGGGGTGGGCGCGAGAGGGGGAGAGAGAGATTACACGTGACCGCCAGGGGTGGACAAAGCAGGCAGGATGCTGACTGTGTTCAAAGGAATGCAGTTATGCACCTCTGACTGAGAAAGGAAATGTAGTAAATTTTTAACCTATCCTAACCTAACCTAACCTAACCCACTGCGTCAAGCGCATAACTGCATTCCTATGAACGCGGACATCATCCTGGCCGTCAACCCCAAGCGTAGATAACCCTGAAAATCGCTCTCACACTCTCTTTCTCCCGCTCCTACCGTTGGCAAATCTCCGCACCAAGAGGTGGCCGACGGCATCCCCCCCATCTACCTGACACCCGTTGGCAAAACTCCGGTTCCCGTACCGGCCATATAAAATTAATATTTTTCCTATTTAGCTTCAAAGCCAGAGGCACTGAGAAATAGAGAACTAAACTTTTTTTAGCGGCCCAAACAAAAAAAGGTCTTATTTGTAAATATGCCAAGGTGAAACCCATTTACTCTCCACCAAAAACAGATACTCTAACCACTATGCTTACAACAGAAACAACTTATGGTTTGGACAAGCTTTACATAAACAAGTAATCTTAACTTATAGCGGTTATATTTTGGATTAACATCCAGGTTCAGTAACTGAAAACGTGTTGATACTCTTTAACCTTTCCTTGCTCCGGATCACTCTATACTTTGCTTTATATATTCTGGCATATGTAGACCAGCGAATGTGAGATGCCTCTCTAAAAAATAGATTTAAATTAATGCTTTACCTAATGCTAGGAGCGCAATAATCTTCTTGACAAGCTGTGAGTGCTGAGCACAGGCAGCAGGCGCCAGCGGCTGGTAGACATACTCAGAGAACACCAAGATGATGATAGCAGCCTCTGCAGGTCTGAGGATCAGGACGACCACCCAGATGAAGACAAATCCCGGGAGAGGACCCCAGAACCCATGGAGAGGAGAGTAAGTGGCTCTGAAGAAGGAGTACTCAGCACCGGACTGCGGCACTACGGTCCCGAGCTCAGCAAACGACAGTGCTCCTGACAAGGCAGAAACCAGAAGAGACTGTCAATCTGAGTAGCCTATTAAGGGCAGATGGTGATTGATAAAATTACCAGCTTGTCCTCTCGAACTTTCAACAGTAAACTATTACGGTTGTAAATATTCTTGCATGGTTAAATTTAGGATTCTAAAATGTTTAATAGTATTTGTATTGAGGTAGAATTTTGTGGAACCTAAACGTTACACAAAGTTTTCTTACCGAGCAGAGAGATGGCGCCACAAACCGCCCATACAATGAGGGCCTCGCCTACTGAGCCTGCACGGACCAAGGCACTGGATGGAGACACGAAGATTCCAGCACCTGAAGAACAGAATGAGTTGGTTAAGAACAGAAGAGTTGGTTGGGTGTGTTGCTAGCCTCGGACGTCTCGGACTTTGGTGCGGGAGGGACATGTTTAATTCCTGGCACATCAACAACACATGGGTTTGGACCAGGGAAAGAGTTAAACAGGATTGTCTTTTGATCTACCTTGCTGAGTGGTAGAATTAAGTACCTAACACTAGCCGTTTCACCCAGGCTATACCAATAGATAAAAAAGTAGGTCCCTTGAACCAACTATAGTAAACAATTCATATGACTGTTTCATAACTGACTATAGAACACCATCAATGGTATCCCCGCAGCATGAACAACATGTGTTTAAATTGTACAAAATATGAAGTTGATTCATTTTTTGTGAGTAATTTGGTAGTGTAAGTAATCGTTGATTGCTTTGGTGGTGACTAGTTCGGCCGCTTAGAAAGCGACCTCCTCCAGCATTGGTTTAGCATTAGCGCGCAGGTCGTTTTCTAAGCGGCCGAACTATAGTTTAGTATCTAATGTTAAACCTACAATGAATGACAAACAATAGCTTAATTGAAGGTTGTCAAAAAGTTTGATAAAACAGAACACAAAGATACGGATGGAAAAACCAGGGTGGTATTTCACTGACAGTGGTTTCCGGGGGCCTCGAAAGATTCTTTTAATAAATAAATTTCACTGATCATTTGTTAGAATTGCACGGGGAACAAGGTTCGATTGGAGCTTTTATTCTCTAGAATGGCAAAAGCGTCTGCGAAAATCGGGTGATTGAAAGCCACGTCTTCGCAGCGATCATGTGTTTCCGCAACCGGGAATGATGTTCATGATTCCTCAGCGATCGCGGAAGATTTCTATGATTTCATTGTGGCCGCGAGCACTCTCATGATTTTTTCGTGGCGGAGGACGAATTTGTTAATTTTGTATTTCGTTTTGTGTTCACGATTTAACCACGATTGCGATATACGGTTTTATGTCCTTTAATCCTCCGTAAACGTAGAAGATGGTCACGATTGCTGCGCGATCTCAAAATATGTCCACGATTTCGTCACGATCACGGGAGGCGAAAATTATGATATTGCAATCGCAGGAGATGTTCATATATTCGTCATGATCGTAGGATACGTAGAAGATGTAATTGCGATCACGAAGGAGGTTTACTATTTCACCATGATCGCAAGAGAAGCACAAGATTTTGTCATGTTAGATGATCATTTTGTTTTCTGTTCAGGATTTTGCCATGATTGGAGGAGTCAATTACACCGATTACAGTAAACCAAGTAAAACAAAGACATCAATTAACTTTTTAACTGCAGTGTAATAACATTATTTCTCATACAACTTCTTTTCAATTACAATTTAATGTTATGTAGTAATTTTGAATTTGAAAAATGCGAATTAAAAATTAATTAATAAAATAAAGACTCGAAGGACCTAATGAAAATTAAATACAAGATAGACTAAAATACCCCCGCCGCAGCAAACCTGCCGACTAAGCGAATTTCCATTTGTCTGAATTGATTTTCAGTTAAATATATTTTAATAACATTAGGTTTAACGAGTACCTAGGTTTGCTGCTACAAGGAAACTAATAAAAGTGTGTTTTTGAGTAAAATATTGATAGCTTAGTACAAAATAAATAAATTTGCCAAGTTTGATCAAAATATATCCATAAACAAGCAAACTACAACATTTGACAATATTCTCCATAAGAATAACATGGGAATTTTAAATTTAAAATTTTTTTAAATTTCTCCGTTACTAATAATCGAACAAAAATACTTTTATATACTAAATTATTTGTTTTTTAAGCTCTTTAATTAGGTTTAAAGAGAAATCGGGAAATTTTGTGTTTTGAGGGTCAAAAGTGAGAAAAACCAATTTTTACCCCATAAAACCCCGTTCCCATGGTCCGATCGTGCTGGTTCGCGAACTCATTCAAGTTTATCCCGCTTTACACCTTTAAACCAAATTTCATCAAAATCGGACAAAAATTACTCAAGTTATCGCGTTCACGGACGTATATATATATATATATATATATATATATAAGTCTATATATATATATAAAAATTTGAACGAATGGTGTTTTTGGCCTCTGAGGACATCAAAATGAAAAAAAAAATCGGTCCCGGGTCTAGGTCTTACCGTGCCACCTACGGTAATAGCTACTTCCCTATAGGGAAATTCGCTAAAACTAACACAAATCAACAAATTTGAAGGACACAGAGGTATTACGTAGGTATTACGTAGAGGTATTAAATTAATGTTGGGCCTAATATGTATTTTTCTTGTTGCAGCCACTTTCCCATCCAGGTCTTCACCACTTCCTCAGTTGCCACTGGGTTTATTTTTTCACAGCGCTGGTACCGATGAGTGATTATAGAGAAAACATCTTGACACCAATTTTCATGTTTACATAACATAAGGGACATAGTGGGGGTGTTTGAGGCATTTAAGTCCATGCTTAGGAATTAGAGAAAAGGTTCTGGGAAGTTGATGATGGATCATCTAAGGCTTTTCTCAGATCTATCAAAGTCCCGGCAGACATGAAGACGTGGCCAAGCAGTGCGGTGAATTATCTGAGTCGTCAGATGAAAGAGTCGGACGGGCTTTACATGGAATCAATGGGGAAAATAGTGGTTGTTGTACTTACTATCCGTCTTTGGAGAAAGAAAGTCATCATTCCAGGACCTCTTGAACCCCAGATGGATATTTGGTGTGATCTAAACAACGAACTCATCAATATAGGCTTCGCCACCGGGTCCAAGCGACCAACGAATTAACGCTCTTCCATTTGAAGATCTAATCTGTACAGTTCTTCCTACATACGTCGATAACAACTTAAACATCTACTTTCAGAACAGCAACCCAGATTGTAATACACTATGCATCGTCTTAGTACAGCTCCAGGAAACTGTGGCTGACCTCACGGACGCCGTCCGAAGATTAAATAGAAAATAGATGACCGTTCCATTAACAACAATGAAAAACACGAGAATGGAAAGTATGAGATAATAGGAAAGATACCTGTTCAAAGATTAAAGGAGATAGAACAGTTGGAGAAAATGTTAGAAACCCCTCAATTTAATAAGCAGCTGTTCAAAATTCTGACCTCGGTCGGGGAGAAGGACATAAAACAATGACGTAGGTGAGAGTTGTCTAAAATGGGGACGCTAGGCAATATGGGTACATTCCGGTACTGCTAAACTAGTGCTGCTATCAGCTGATCTTAGACGAACTATTGCGAACTAACCATTTCACTCTACTTTGAGCTAGATACCGTTGATATACTGACTATAAGTTTCATGTTGCACACTTTTAAATATTTGACGATTTATTCTTTGGATTTTTGTTCGTGTCTCAACTGTGTTTTTACGTACCCAACATAGAGAGTTAAAAAAAGTAAGTGTTTGATCACTATCTTCAGTTATTAGGCTACAATTTGTTGTTTCTTCTATCCAAAAATCTCAAAGTGGAGGCTAGGTACGCCATGTTGGTTTTATTAATACAGTGGCGGGTCAAACGGGGACGTACATGGTAGGACAAAATGGGGACGTCCCCGTTTTATAAGAATGTCCCCATTTTGGACAGATTGTAGGATAATAACGTATACACATTAAACACTTTTGGCATGAACCAGTGTTTTACTACTTTATACGTTTTATAAATTTCTAACTGATATGCTTAAGGATATAAATATGGTAAAGTTTAATTAAAAAAACTTCAACTCCATAAATATGTTAAAATTTCTATTAAGTTGAGAAATTCTTAGTTTTTATTTTCTATAACAATCTTTCTAACATGTTTAGTCACTTTAAGAGGTAATATGATGAGTTTGATGTGTTTTGTATTCAATAAAAATGCTTTTTCATTAAAAAAACTCAATTTTGCATGTGCTCTTATGGCGTCCCCATTTTACCAGAAAGGTCGTCTTAACGGGGACAATGTATGCATTTAAAAAATATATAATTTTATTGTTATATCTAGGGAATAATTGATCAAAAGCTACCAGTTTCTGTCAACACATTAGTGTAGTCTTGTTCTGTCTAAATTTCAAAAGTTTAGCAATATTTTTAAGCGAAATATAATGTGGAAACCACTAGAGTCCCCATTTTAGCCGACCTTCCCCTACAACTGCCTACGAAGGTTGATGTCGTACCAGGTTGCAGTGGAATATTCCTACAGTGGTATTACTGCAAGCAACAAAGAGAAGACAAAGAAAATAGCATTTTCAAAAACAAATGCCTGGGAAATTGCACACCAAGCTGTGGCGTTTTCGTTGTAGTGTATGACGCGACGTTCGTTCCTCATTGGGTTTTTATCCGATTTGGAACCATTTTCGTCTTAATCTAATTTAAGAGCCTTATTATGCGTGGCCATGTGCAACCCTGAGATTTTCGAGGAAGGGCTTAACATGGAATCAGTGGGGAAAATAATTGTCCACCGCCTTCAATTCTTAAATCCAAAGTTATTTTAGACAGAAAAATCTAAGGTCCAATTTTCCTTTCAAACAGGCCAGTTTATTTATTTATTACATACGGAAATACCATTATTACAATGATATGCATTGGCAGATTGCACTGTTTTGCATGACAATATATAGCAATATAATAATGATTGAAAAAAATAGCATTATACAATAATAACAAGAATAACAACAACAAACATAACGAGAATCAACAAGAACAAGAACAATGAGGTGAAAGTTTAACTAGGTACTTATGCAGATGCAAGAATTGACTTTGACAACAGATTAATTTAACATGGTAATATGCAATAACAATAATAGAGTGGCAAAATATAAATAACAGCATATAAATAACAGCTTATAAATAACATGAAGACAAGGAAGCTACAAAGACACATAACAATAATAAATAGGGAACATAAGCGTGTAAAAACATGATAGTGAAATTTGAAGAAAAGCTACGATCACTGATGAGATAGGCAATTGCAGTGGTGAAGGATAATAAGCATATTCCACTCAAAAACATCTTGTG